CTCACACCATGTTCCTGAGGTAACACGCCCGATTGTCAGGAGAGTGGGCACAGCACAGCCTCCCGCCTTTATGCCCCCCCCAAAAAAACAAAATACAAAATTGAGCCACTTCAGACCCCCCACGACTGTCCTGAGCCAGTGCTGATAAAGGGACCCTTGGCTATCTGTTTACATTGGAGCAATGTAAATTCTCCAAGGTTCATATTTATCTGTGTGCTTAGCAAGTTACTGAACTTTGGACTTCAGCACTGCAGCAGCAGTTCACAAAGTGCAGAGGGAGAGAAAGCGGGGGGCGGGGGAAAGGGAGGGAAGCAGAAGAGAGAAGGAGAGTAAAATGAAGGGGTAGAAGGTCTGCAGCATGGAAAATAAAAGTAAGCTATAGAAAGAAAAGTAGGAAAATGAGGATGGAGAAAGGTGGCTTATTTCTGGCCCCATTAGTTTTAGAGAAGGAAGGAGGTGGACTACCCAAAAAGAAGAGGTGCGTTTGGCTGTGTGCAGTTCAGGAGAAGGTGCTGCTGTTGGAAGATTGCAGAGCCTGCTCAGAGCTCTGGCAGTGGTGAGGTTCAGCCAGTCTCAGCACCTGCCGAAGGCTTTGGGCTGAGAGAAAGCCACACTGGCAGCTTCAGTAGCCTTTGTGCAACGCCCCAGCAGAGAAGCATGACCACTGGGTAAATATGAATGTTCCAGAGACTCACGGGACGTTCTGGAGCTCCAGCTGACTTCTGTGGCAGAGCACCAAGTGTTAAATGACTTTTTTGCTTCTGGCTTTGGCTTGCTGGGTATCTTGATATGCAAATACTAGTACCTCCATTATAACTTGCTATGTTTATTGCTTAATTGATGAGCAAGAGCAGTGTACCCACATAGTTTGGGGGATTACAGGGCTTGCCCCACTCAACTTGTGATTCAGGCACGTGATAAAGAATAGCCCTGGGTGTTGGTTCATGCTGAAAGTCCCTGCCCTATCATCAGTTGCCCTTGCTTCTGAGAAGTGCTCTGGGCAGGCTTGTGGTTACCATTTATGATCTACCTCCAGCCCCTCTTGATGCCAGCCCTGCTCTAAGGTTCTGCTCCCACCTATTGGGTGACTTCCCTAGCTCGGCTGGAGTTGCTTAGTGCGGTTCTCAGGGAGTCCTTATGACTAAATTGTCTTTTCTGGTCTGAAAACTTATGAAAGAATCTATCTACTTTGAGTGGCTAAATTAGGGAGTAACTTGGTGTGCGCATGTGGACTTGATGCATGAGCATGTCATGCAAATGATTCCTTGTGTGATCAACAGGAGAGGGATTTAAAACTATTGTCTCAATGGAGGCTTCCTAGGGCAGCTACTTGTCTCTCTTTATACACTCCCATCAAGCCTAAGCTTGATGCCTAGTAGAGCCTAGTAGAACTGTCCCCAAACTGAGTAATGTCCCAAGACAATACTGCAGAGTGACCTTGGCTCCTGTTTTCCCTTTGTGGGCACCGTTAGCCAGGCTCATGCAACAACATGCTAAGTCAGCAGCTGAAGGACAGAGCTCCTTCGCCGATTGGACCCCCTCCTCCCTGCAGGCACAGCAAGCTGTGGTGGGGCTGCTGGGCTGACCCTTTCAACCAGGGCTGTTGTTAACTGTTAGCTTTCGTTTCAGATGGCGTCTGCACCAAGAGTACCAGGTCCCCTCACTGCAGTGAGTTCAAAAAGCTCAGATGGATACAGAAGATTCTCTTTGTGTGGCTAAAAAGAAGTAACAATTTGGAGTCCATGTAAAAACATTTAATGTAAGAAATTTTCATATGAACATTAAAGCAAAAGGCCATCTTTCATTTCTAAAGATTTTTTTCCCCGAACTCTTAATAAAGAGTATTTAAAGAATCATGAGCTTTTTTGGCATTGTTCTGTCAATGTTTTGATACAGTTTCCATGCATTTTATTTTTTTATTAGTTTTCCTAATTTCCTGACCCCCCCAGTAGACATGCCAACAATACTGTCCGATAACAGTAATTGTCAATTGTAATTACAGTATGACTATGACATATAGTTTCTGCACGATACGTCCTTATAATTCAAGGACTTTGCAAAGAGAGACAACTGATTGTGGGCCTCCTGCAATATGTGACAGAGAAGGTCCTGTCACACTGTTGCTTACTTCTGTCTGTCTTTGGCATTGTGATTTCTTTTACGTAAACTAAGATGGAAAATATTGCCATTGTTGTTGTTTAAAAGATTGTCCAATCTATGTTCTGTAAGTGTGTATACCTGTTGAATGCTTGAGGGGGGATGGGGACACAGACCACTAAGTTAGACAAAGAACAGCAATATTTGTGAAGGGAAACTGTAAAGAGATGAAAACATAGCAAGAAATTATCTGTCTATATTATGTGGTTTCAAGGATCCCTTATGTACCCAGAAGTCTTGTGCTGTTGTTTCTGCTTGCCTTGAAGACCTTCAGCTGCAGAGGCTCTTAAAACAGCCTGTCTTGAAACCAGTGAACTTTGAAGTCTGTAAAACCAAAAATGAACATCTGTTTGTACATTAGGACCTCACTGAACGCTACAACTGGATGCCATGTGGAGAATCCTTAGCTGATTATGGAAATCTTTCAAATACTGAGGAGGAGGTAAATTATCACTTTATCCTGAAGGGCTTTTTCCCTTGGTTTATTAGAATTGTCCATTTTAAACTGTAGGAGCTGGATAATTAAGAAGTAAACTTCTACACTGTCAACTTTACATTCACGGTAACCTTCCAGACTGTGCTAGTGAATGGTTCAGCACTCCATTAAGTGTCTCGGATTCTTCAGTGCAGGAAAACCAGCAAGCTTTTCAGTGCTTCTTAAATGTTATAAATTGCTAGCACTCAGACTGAACATTTGGGCAGCACGAAGGACACTCCTGCGGCTAATTAACGAGCACCCCTATTTTATACCCTGGCACTAAGGATTGCAATATCATTTTATCAGATTATTACAAGTGCCACAATATGCAGTTGTGAGGTAATGAGAATAGCAGAAGTCAAGGGTGGAAGCTATGAAGATTAACCAGCTAGATTATAGTTCTAGTAGTAGAGCAAGAGCTAAATTGTAGAGTGCCATAATCCAGACAACATTCTCCTGTAACTGAATTGTACTCAGGGATTTTGCCTTGAGGATGAATATTTGGAAAAAAAAAAAAAAGATGCAAATGGGTGTAACAAACCAAGACCATTACCAGCGCTTAGTATATGTTGATTTCCTTAATTGCAATGATTTGCTGGGCCATGACGTGATTCTGGAGTCACCCTGACTAATGTGGTCTTGGTAATTGTGATAGGAGAAACTTCTGAAGATTGAAGACACCAAGTGATACCTGCTTGGTTTTTCTCATGTTTGCAGTATCTGGTTTTGTGGTTTTTTTCCTGCAGAATTGCTTGTTTTTCCGTAGGTGTAACTAATATGGTGGTTGAGACCCCTCAAATTCAGTGCTTCATTGACAAGACATAAGCAGCTTTACAACATTAAACTGGTCAGCTTAATAGCAGGCTCAGGTACAATGTGACATTAACAAATCGGTTTGGATGCAGATTGGAGAAATATATCAATTAGTAATCACAAGAAGTCTGATTTCTATTTTATTTTAATGGGAAATTTAATAAAGATTATTTAAACATGTTGAACTACTTTGCATTGTCCTACATATGCTTAAATACAACTTCTATGCATTTTTAAAAATTATTTTCTTTTTTCCAATGATTTTCTTTTTTTCTCCTGAAGTAGTAGACAGTCTGATAATACTCTGTGACAGCTATCTTGTAAAACTGGGTTCTGTCATTCTCCAATATCCATCCAGGCAAGGATGTCTTGGGTTCCTCTAATGGCATTCTATTTTATTGCTAAATAATAGTCTGTCTTGATTAACTGTTCCAATGTAATCCCTTCTCCCCTACATGTAATAAAGTAGTTGAATTACTAATTAAGTGGATTACTTAACACTGAGAACAACTGCATGAAAGTATAAATCGGTATATAATAGGAATGTTATTCTTATTTTAGACTTATTGGTCCGTATTCTGCCTGTTATGCTAGGGCAAACCAAAGTAATGGACAGCAGAGTCCTGTGAACAGAATGGAAGGCACAATAGACTCCCAAAGCCTGACTTCTTGTATCAACACTTTTACCTTTGGTGTTTTCATTTTGTGAATTATATCCATTATTAAGTGTACATGATGAAAAATACAGTAATTTGCTGGGATAAAGCCAATGTAATATAGCTTCAAGGAGCATACAGAGAAGGAAAAAACCCTAAATATATTTATGATAAAAGTGCTAGCACAGGGAGCCTGTATAGTTCCCTGAATACTGTGGTAAAATTGCTAGTGGCAAAAGAAACACAGAGAAATGGTTCTTTTAATAATTCTTTACCATTTTACTGTTCTTCCTGCTGAGATTGCTAAATGCTTTATTGGTCTGAATGACATTAACATCATCCCCTCCTTGAAATGTGAGAGCTATTATTATAATGTTCACCCTTATTTATGTGGTTGGGGAAAAGCAAGCTATGCAAGTACCAAAACTGATTATTATTAGTGCATTGGGAGCTTAGTCCCAAATGGCACACAGGAGTGTGAAAAATCTGAGATAATTGTAATTTATATGTTGTTTTCATAGGGTTGGATTTCAGCTATTTGTGCAAACCCTGAGTATCTCAGTGGGGAAGAATTAACTTGAATACATGGTTTTAATGTTCTAAATATATACCCATTTATGTTTTAATTTAGTAGTCTTTGTTGTAAATATATGATTATAATCGAAAATGTGATTTTACAGAGAAGTTGGTGCCTCCTTCTGTACTTTCAGTAGTACAATCAGAAGAACAACCACCTAAACTTTCAGAGCCAAGGGGGCAAGGCTACCTTTTCACTGAGACACTGGAGTAACTTCCCAAGCTTCTCCTTACCACTGTTTGCAGGATTCAATTGCATCCAGAAGAGCAAATGTTTTGAT